CTGAGAATTGAACCTAGTGCCTCATGTATGCCAGGTGAGCACGCTACCACTTGAGCCACATCTCAGGCTCCTGCATTTGTGGTTTTTATGTGATAACATTTTTTTTGGAGTAGAATATTAGTCAAGTTCAATGTAAAATAAATGAGAGTCGGTTATACCCAGTTTCTATTTGGGTATACCAGTGCTCTGAGGTTTATACCATGCTTCCTTGTGGAAAGTGCTGTCATACATTCCTCAGTCCCTGTGATAGGACCCATCCCTCATAGTGTTGACTTGAACCAATAGGATTTCTTTGCACACTTAAGTTTCATAGGTCTTAAAACTTATAATTAATTGACCCTCATCATATATATTTTTTCTTCAGTGTGTCCTGTGTAAGTCATTTCTTCAACTGAATTATAATTGTTTGTATGAATCAAAACCACTTAGAAAACAATAGCACATACAAATACAAATAATTTAAGGAAGGCGTATCAGCCATCTTTGCATTACTACAACAAATACCTGAGACAATTAACTTATAAAGGGAAAAATTTGGTTTGGCTCACCATTCTGGAGGTCCCAGTTCACAATCAGGTGGCCCCATCAGTTTGAGCCTCTTTTAGGGTAGCACGTCACGATAGGAATGCATCCCAAGACTGGGATCCCACAGTGCCCTTGAAGGGCACAACCCCAGTGGACCTAAGGGTCTCCCACCAGCCTCACCACTCAAGTTTCCACCAGTTCCCAGTAGTGCCACCTTGGGATGAGCCTTTGACACATGTATCTTTGAGGGACACTCACTCAAAACACTGAAGAGGTTTTATCTCTAAAGGGGCCACTCGTCAAGGACAAGGGTTATGCAACAACCTCTGGCTAGTAGTGGTTTGCTTATTAACACCTGGAGTGGAAAGCAGAGGCAGCAGTCATCAGGATCTAGGAGGAGGAAATCCTGAATATTTTTCACAGCAAAAGAAATGATGAGTTTGGATGAAGAATACAACCAGACACATGATTTCAATATGTGGGAGCCAAGAATAAAATCCCATGCACTCATTTCCTCCCTTCATTTGATTTGCCTGGGCTTCATATTGGTCATACCCAATGAAAAGTCAGAGACCAAAGGAATATTCTTATTATTCTAATTAAAAGTTTATGTCCCTGAAAGAGGAGTATACAAAGTTCTATCTGTTACAGTTTCTCTGCAGGATAGTATCAGTCCAGTTTTAGATATGGAATTTACAAATACAACAACCACTAATCTTTTTCAGCAAATACTCCCATTCACAGAATAAATTAGTTTATCATGTGGCATTAGGCAGTAATCATGACTGCCTTCTTTGACTACTGATCCTTTTCCCTTTATTTTTTTTCATGTTGACCAAAACTTTATTCCTACAAAATCTTATTACTTTGTTTGATTTTCTTAAGCAAATTGATAACAATTTTTTTTTATTATTATCTGGAACCCCTGGGCAAAGACGTATTCGTGAATGTCCTAAGTTCTCAATATGTACTTGTATGACCTCTTTTGAATAGTAAAGACACCTTTTATTTCTTGTAAATGAGATGTGTCATTGACCCAATGCAGTGACAGTGTTTTCTGTTATTATTTTCTTTTGTTTGTTTCTTTTTGGTCATAATTAATTCAAAATATTCAGGGAAGAAATTTCAGCTTCCAATTCAAAATGTATCCAATGGGTTATTGGCATAATGACTGATGATTTTACAACTGTTATCCTGATTTTTCTAGAATTGTCCCTCCTGCCTATGCTGTTTGGAAGTTTTCGTGTAAGATGGATACATTTTTCATTATATACACATATAGTAGAAGTGACAGGATTGTACATAGCAAAGGCAAATTCACTCCCAGTATATGTTTCTCTCTGCATGACACAAATGCTGCCCATTAATAATGGAATGGTTCCATGTAATCCATCTGCCACCAGTTTGTCACATAGACTTACTGAGAAATTATATTATACCAAAGATCAGTGATGGTGGCTGCCATTTCCAGGTAGGTGAGAGAGCCAAAGGCTGATTGACATTCATGGGGATGTCATCTTGTTCATTTAATTACTGATAGCCACTTTTAGTTGTGGATGTGATTTGGTAAACATTAAGTTTGGAAACTAGTATCTTCATATTCTTAAATATTTACCTCTTATGATAAATCATTCCACTTATCTTTCGTAAACATCCTTGGCACTAATTTTCTAGTTTTACTCTTCCTCAGTCTCTCATGAAGTGGCTTATTATTAGTTACCATGCATGAGTCAGAATCAATTCATTCTTCAAGCCAAATTTTCTTCAAAAAAAAAAGTGGACAACTAAATATTTGGTTTGAAATTTTGCCATTTGGAAGACATGTTCATTATTGTCTTTCAATGCCTCAATGGCTCTTGTGAATCAAATGGTACTATAGAGTCTATCTAATCCCAGCTTGCTCATGTACATCATGCAGGCCTACCCAGAAACCAAGCCAATTTTTATTTGTCCTCTGCCAGTCTGTTTCAGAAAACATACCCTCCCTAGGGCATAGGTGTGAGATGAGGGTTAGAAGGTGAAGCAATACTATGGACAGTCCTATGTGCTTTCTGGTCCAATCCCATATATAAGACTTTTATTTTATAGTAGAATGTTGCTGTATGTGTCCAGTTGTATGGTCATGGATCAGATAATAACTGGTTTTGAGTGGGGGTATTGATTTCAGAGTCATTAGGTAACCCATAGTCAGGTTAATTTTCTCAACCAGAGCCCAATACAGAACTGCTTATGAAAGAAGTAATATTCCTTAACACAAGAGAGAATGAATGGTCTTTCTTCAAAGTGTGAAATGAAATGCCTGTGCTGTGATTATAGTATGGGAGTGCCAAAGACTCCACATAGCACCTCTCTCTGTCATGGGCAGTCACATTATCATTGCATCTGCTTTGTCACAAGGTGCAGAAGGGAGACAAAGTTGCAACATGACATATCTGCATTGCAGAATCCTCTATTGCTCACATCCAACTCAGAATTGGCAGCCTTACAAGTTACCTGGGAAATAGAACAGAGCAAAATGTTAAAATAAGGTTTGCATTGTCTTCAAAATCCAGGAGAGTCTAATTCCTCTTTACTTTTGCACAGGTGTGATCCCAAGAATTTTTCTCTCTTGTGAGAAGATACCTGATGTGTCATAGACTACTAGGTTTCTAAAAAGTTCCCCAGTATTTTAGACTCAAATTTTCAAAGATGTTTGTTTCCAATTCTCTGCCATTATGCAGAAGAGTTCTAATTTTCTTATACTGATGTTCTCTGTCAGTGAGAAGATCTGTGAGAATTATGAGGTTCAAAATATTTATCAGTTGCATATAGCAGTATAATATAGCACAATTACTTGTGCTATATATATATATATATGTCATATATATTATATATTGTATATAGCACAATATACTTTATATGAAACTGGTTGAGAGAAAAAAAAATGCTTCTTCTCTTAACTGATGTGTGAGAGTCCCAAATCCTCTTTACTAATATCTTGGCTTAAAATCGCACAAGGAGTTGAGCTTCTAATCTGGGTGCAGATAGTCTCCTGTTCCTATGTTATTTTGGACCTCAGCCACATTTTTCCCCCAAAGCAGAAATGGACTCTTAATGATTCCATTGTGACCCTTTATTCTCTATGTGCAGCCCTAATTTCACAGTCATAGTTTCTCTCTCTCTCTCTCTCTCTCTCTCTCTCTCTCTCTCTCTCTCTCTCTCTCATGAATGAAATCATGGCTCTATTGTTTCATACTCACTCTCTCTCCTCCCCTAGGCAATTACTCTGGGTTGTCAGAAAAATCATGTTAACTGCATTTCAGTCTCTAATCACCATTGTTTTTGTTGCAACTAAGTGTTAAACACTAGTTCTTTCAACAACTCTCTCCATTACCAGTATGTCTTCCAACATCACCACTAGTGGCAACTGATTACTCACAACTCCAGCTCCTGCTATGGATCATCTATGCTCCAATTTCCTCTTAGAAATGTTGTTATCATATTCCACATGTATTTGTATCTGGAATATAATTTTATATATATGATATATATGGTATATAATAAGAAAGGCTAATCTCAAAATATAACTTGAAGATCTATCTTCTAAGACTACTTCTGAACTCTATCAGGATCCCCCCAAAAAAGAGCTGACACATTCAGTAAGATAATTAGTTTGTTTGCAAAAAGAACATTTACCAAAAAAAAAAAATAGGCATAAGGAATCCACAAAGAAAAGTGCTATAATCTTAACTAGTAGCAGCCACCTTACTACTAGAGGAGAAAATTGTGTGGAGGAGACTGCTTCGACAGAGTAGTGACATCATTTAAAGTTCACAGCCAGCCTGAGGTGACATTGCAGCATGGAACTGAGAGAATAAGTAACCTGGCTTTACTCTCTTCCTTCTATTCTCCTGCCAAAGCATTATAATGATCTGTCCTCTGGAAGCCAGAGGGCATGGGGGCCCTTTTGATGTAGTTCACATAGATTGACTTTCTGAGCCAGAAAGCAGGTGTGGAAAAGTGCATAGTTGTTCTTGGGTTACATGAAAGAAAGATATCCAGTATATTTCTTATTCTTCCTTAGAGCTTAAAACAGTTAATGAATTTTAGTGAGTTCTTAATTCATTTCTTCAGAGAATGGAAAATAGTCACATGCAAATACGCATTCATGGTAACATGCATGTGGTTTTAGGCCATTTCTCACCCTTCAGTCACTGTTCTCATTCTGTCTACTGTAATAGGACTTCCATAAACCTCTCCACATTGTCAATGATGAATGAAATCATGGCTCTATTGTTTCATACTCACTTTTCTGCATATATTTTTCCTGAGCCTAGAAGGTGGCTCTGAAAGAAGGAATTCTCAGGGAAGTTGATAAAATCCAGCATGCTATCCAGAAAATATATGTGTGCGATGGAGGTTTCAAGGACAGATTTTTGTGGGTCACTAAGCCCACATCTCTACAGTTGGTTTCAAATAACACTTATTTATTCTAGAGGAACTTCTGCATTCTCACATCGCCCACTGGTGGTCCCCGGATGGAGAGAGGCTTGCCTTCTTGATGATAAATGACTCCCTGGTGCCTAATATGGTTATCCCTCGGTATACTGGAGCATTGTATCCCAAGGCAAAGCAGTATCCATATCCCAAGGTAAGAAATGTGAATGTGCTAGTTTGTTTCTTCTGTCAGCACCAGAGACTTGATAGATAATGTGCTGGGTTCACGAGCAAGTAGTCTTTTAAGAGAAAGCTTCTCTTACTTGGAGATAGATGAATTATTTCTTAACAGACAAGGCAAAATACTGGGTTGAAAGAGGGAGAGATGATTTGGAGGCATCAGAACTTTTGCTTTTGCTACATGTTTTTCCTTCTGCTTCTCATTCTTGTTTTTTTCACCTTCCTTATCGGAACAAGGGTGAGAATAGGTAAAACACAGAACTGATGTTAGCATAAGTATAACTCCAAAGAATAATCTAGTAGTTGCAAGTAGGTATTTTTAAGAGAGGGGAAAGTGGTCTGATCAAATAAGTTGGAAGTTCTTAGCTTAAAAAAAAACTTCTTTCAGATGATTTCATAGAGCACTTAATATACTATATGTTAATGTGTATTATAAATCTCCTATAAAAATTGACTAAGCATAAAGAATCCCAGTAAGTAATATACTAAGCATGAAGAATCTTGATGAAGAACAGACAAAGCATAAAGAATTACCCATAAAGAATAGACTAAGCATAAAGAATTTATTAGTATTAGTATTAATATCAGCATTATTTTGGCAGTGCATACTCTGGAACATGGTTTAAGAAATGCCTGTGTTGAATCATAGCCAGGGATAGATAGGATAAATGATAGGGTTTTCCTGGGTGAGAGAATATGGAAATCCTACCCAGACAGTAAGTAAGTATTGACTGGGGCCTCTTGGGAGTGGCTTGCAAAAGCATAGTGCATTGTGTTTCTATTGTAGGCCACCCTAAATTCCCAAAGATCTCTTTTTATGACTTCATTTCCCCCTTATGCTTATATAACAAGGCTCATGGTAAGGGCCACATGCATTAATCATGTAAAGATGTCTTGTAGAAAAATTTCTAAAATGCCACAATGTATTTTTGATCTAATTAGAGAACAGGGTGCTGATTTCATTTAGAAGATTTTTTGAAGCTACTCCTTTAAAGAGCCGCACTTTGTTTTTCCCAAGCTCTACAAGTTTTCTGCCTTTGAATTTGTCCACTGTATTAACTGAGCACAGCACACTGGGCAAATTTCTATCACAATTGTTACTCTAGAGCTGCAGTGAAGGCATGGCCAGTGTGGGGCCAGGTCCTTTGTGCTTTCCTTCTTATCCTGCCATTCACCAGACTCAGGTTATCCAGGGGAGAAAGTAGGAGAGGCCTGAGTATGGGAAATCAGGACTATGATGAGCATTGCCCTCCAGGAGCTTCTGCCCTCTCTGTCTTTCTTTTGTGGGTTATAGTATTAAATGCAAGTTGGAGAGAAATTGGCTTCTATGATTTTGAAATGTTATTTTTAGGGTCTTCTCTGGATAAAGACTAGAAGGCAGATTTACTTTGTGCTTTCAGGAGAAAATGGCGATCAGACTTCACAACAAAATAATCATATTCACAAAGAGATTTTTATTGTATTCTAAGAAAAGTTCTTATGACTTCTCCAATTATAAATTTAGCTTTTGTGTGTGTGTGTGTGTGTTTATTTGATAGTTTGTGCCTGTTTAGCATACCAGTACACTTGTTCTTTCCAGATCAAAATTGAAAAGACTTTGTTTGGTTTATTGGAAATGATTAAAGTTTACATGGCAATTTAAGTATAAAATGGAGAGCTAGTGATATACTGTGAAAGGCATATCCAGCTGTCCAGTGCACACTGAACAAAGGGGATAAAATCAGCCCCACAGATGGGACAGCGCTTTTCAATTCATTTCCCAAGAGGAGTGAGAATTTGGTAATTCACATAGAAGATATGTACATTAGCTACATCTTCAAATTGCCTTCTCGGTTATGGACCCAGTGTGCTTGAACTTGGAGACTCACAGGCCTCACAACTTTAACAAGACTGAAGCCAATGAGTGGGAAAATAGAAACATCTGAGAAAAATTGAAATATAAGATCAGTAATTCAGAAGACACAGGATACAAATCTAGACAATTATTTAATAATCTGTTATTTCATCAATAATTTAACAGCACATAATGATGTTTACATAAATTACAGATGTTAATAATACAATATGTTTGCAGGGGGACTTCACTAGTTTTTCTCATATGGTCTTTATCACAATTGCCTATGTTTTATGAAAGGCAGAGATTCTAAAAGGTTAAGGACTTTTATAAAAAGTCACAGCTATTCTTAAGAATAGGAAAATAACTCGAACTTATTGATTCCATTCCTCTCAGTAAAACTACCAGAGGTCATCTTGTATTTCAGGAAACATCGATGAAATCAAAATATCTTTTTGTCAAGTTAACAAAAAATATTTGTTAATATAAAAATATTTGGAAATCTGTTTGCTACATTTGCTCCTAATTGCCTAGCTGTATATGTGTAGCATTCTTAGTTTCTCACCTATAATGTGTAAATATAACATGATGAGGGTCCTGAGTATTGATGATTACTATTAAAAAGGATTAAACATAAGTAGTAACAAATATCCTAGCAGACAAACTAAGTGGAAACACCCCAGTCCTCAAATATTGTTATTTGAAACACCAGCCCAGGTGTGTAAAAGAAAGTAGAGCTAGATTTTGGTCCTTGTTCTCAGAATATACTTTAGTATTATTTTGGGTATGTTACTTTAATTTTCAAACATATTATATTCTATTCTGGTTTAGAACAATGTTTGATTTTTTCCATAACAAATGCATTGTTTCAATTTGCTTCTATGCAATAAACTTTCAAAAAGTGGTACTTTAGAAATTGAAATAACACGTTGAGTTCATACTAAATTGTGTTTCAAATTAAACTGGATTAAAATGAGTGCGACAAATACCCAGTGTGGTCAAATTTACTAATGAAATACTTATGCCAAACAAATATATTAGTATTTTACTTAATTCAGCATGATTCAGAACTCATAAAAAACCCTATCATTAGCGATTCAGCACGAAAGAGATGCACAGTTCTATCTCTGTGACCTCAGGTTAATCTTCTTAATTAAAACATTATCTCATTTAATGACAATTTAGTTGCCAGTAGAATAAGGTTAATTATTATTGAGGCTTGTGTTTCAGAATCATAGAGGAAGGAATTCTGTGGCTTTGCAGGATTTGTGGCAAATGTGAATGTTAAAAGCAAACAAATGAACTCTTCTAATTTGCAAACTCTTGAATTGATTCAAATATTAAAAGGTACAAATGAACTTGCCATGTGTGCTTAATTTCAAAATCCCATGGAAAAGTAAAAATGTAACAGAATTAGAAAATGCTAACAGCTGAATTTTGGAGACAACCTGATGTCTCTTTTGAGTTCACTTTTTGCCTAAAATTTGGCCTCAGGTGTACACAATTTTTAAATTTGTTTTCACGTAGAACCTAATGGGGCTATCAGTGATCCTGAACAGATACAAACTTTGAGTGTTACTGACAAAGCTGTCTCAACAACAGGATAATGGTTGATGTGTCTTTGGCAAAGTATGTCATAAATTCTAAATTACTGGTCAGAGTTCATACAGATCAAATTTAATTTATTTCTTTTTTAGTTTAATCAGTATATTGAGTAATAAGATTATAAACACACAATTTCACTAATTAGATCAGAAGAATTAATGTCATAACAACTACTTTCATTTTTAACTCAAGACCATTTACTATTTTAGACACATTATCATCTGTTGTTTTTTTATTTAGTCCTCATAACAAAATTATATTTTTATGTACAGAAAGGGAAACTTCTTTGACCCAAAACTACTATTTCTGACATGTTCTCAGAGAAATATGCATCTCATTTTTGATAATCAAGTAAATTATACTTGAGAATATTAAGCATCTTCTCATGATCCATGTCAAGTAAACGACAAAATCAAAATTTGGATTCGTATTTCTCTGATTCTCAGATTAGTCCAGTTCTCAAAATGTGGTCCATTCACCATTATCAGGGTAACAGGTGCAATGTATCATATTGCTGTATCTGGTCCTGGCTTAACTTTTACTTTGTCCATGATATTTTCTTGAACATGTTTTTTTTTTTTTTTTTTTTTTACATTTTAAAGCAGTTTTCCCATGCTTTACTATTTTGAATTCACTTTTGAACTCTTCAGTTTTCAACTCACTTCAACTCCCTTTCAGTTTCCTTCTCTATATCATAGTCTGCTCTGTAGCCTCAGCCACACCAAAAGGATAGCAGTGCGTGTTGTTTAGAAACACACTGAGCCACAATAATTTATTTTATACAAAATTTCTTCCTGAGAACATTTTTTCATTCATTCATTCAAACTGTTTGAGGCATGTTGGGGAAAGTTCCCTTTCTGCCCCTCTATTTGTTCACAGGGTATTTTAGAAAAACTCCCAAGGACATTGCCTGCAAATGAACTAAAAGCATAGTCAATAGCATCCTGGATTTAAATACTAGCTCGCTTTGTTTTTAGATATTTCACCTCATATAACTTATTTAGCTACTCCATTTTCATCTGGAAAATGGGTATATCTTAGGACAGTAATAGACTCACTTGGAGAGAAAATTCATGTAATACCTTTAGTACACACTATATGCCAGAAACATACCAGCTTCTACTTGAAAGTTATTATTTAACACAAATTTAATCCCTGTTCTCAAATGATGAATCCTTCTCACTTCCCTTCCACTCTTTATGCCAGATCCTTAAGGAGAGAATTTTGCCTGTTTTTTAAGAGATCAATTAAAAAAAGTCATCCTATTTAAGCATCAGTAAAGTATAAAAGAAACTTCAGATATATGAATTCAATGGAATACATTGGATTTTCTACAGTTTTAAGGATGTGACACATGCTCTATGAGGGTAGGATAATCATGTATGTAGATAGGATTTCTTTTTTTCTTTTATTTTCCTATCTTTTTTCCTATCTTCTTTCCTTCTCTCCTTCCTTCTCTCCTTCCTCATATCTTTCTCTCCTTTTGAGTTAGCCACATCTCCCCCACTGCATGCTGTCTAGTGAGTAGTTACTTGATCTACTAGTTGTTTTGCACAGCCAGCCCTTCTGGTGCCTTTCTATGGAAGAACATGGTAGCACAGCCTAATGAATAAAGTCATCATGATTTCCTATCACCTTTAATTGTCTGACTAAAACGCTTTGAGAAGCAGCAATCTGCAGAAACAATTGAAAGCAATCAAGTCGTTGAATTTAAAATCATTTATACTTCCGAGAAATTAAACTTTTTTCCTCCATAACACAAAAAAGTAAACGAGTCAAAAAATGCTTTTCTTTTATTCTCAATGTAGCCTAATGCTTAATATACTCGCATTACAACTTTCATTTTCTCAAAGGCAGGTCAAGTGAACCCAACAATAAAATTATATGTTGTAAACCTATATGGACCAACGCACACTTTGGAACTCATGCCACCCGACAGCTTTAAATCAAGGTATGCAATTTCAATTTCACTTTTACAGGGAAATAGATATTTTCAATCCAATTATCATTTTGTTGCAATTTAGAGAGAGATGTGATCAGCTCAACAATTCCACTTGAAAATAAAGCTGAGGTTGCCTCCATTAGTGAAGAATGAAGTCATTCTGGGTGTCTGGCTGTTCCCAAGACGCATTTAGTTTCAAGGTGATTAGCAACATCTAAAATGACTAAAGATACTGATACTGAGAACTGGGTCTTTTGCTGGAGATGTGACAAAGAGATAAGGACAAAGGATAATTTTGAACTGAATTTTCTTTTAGAAAATAGTCACTCCAGGTTTTTTTTTTTTTTAATGGTGCTCTTTAAAAGAGTATAATCTCCCTGAAATTTGTTTGTTTGTTCAACCTCCTCCCCACAGCTTGCCAAGGATTCACTAGCATTTTTCTCCAGGCAGAGAAATTTAATGAGATTTTGTTTCCACTTACCCTACCTCAAAAGCCTTCATTTTTAAAAAGTTTGAGCAGGGAGAAAAGAAGCACATTTTATGTGTCAGAAGCATAAATTTAATATTAGCAAAGTTTTCCCTAGTGAACAAATAATCAAATAATCATGTGTATTACAAAATTCCGAATGGCCTCATACTTCAAAGGAGATTTTTTTTCAAATGTTGCAGACCTTTAGAAATTTACAGAGTCCGGGAGAAGGTATAAGCAGGTAGGAAAATGTTTCATGCTATATTGAATGATTTGGGCTAAGCTCAAATTTTGTTTTGATCATGTCTAGATAATCAATGCAGGCTGACTGATTGCAGCAGAACTTTCATTAAAATGTTGACATAGTGAGGGAAACCTCATCCTACTTGGGGTTTTACAGGTTTTGCAGCCTGGATTGATGTTATGAAAATTTTTTCCATTTGAAAAGGTAATAAAAATCTATGGGATGCTTTCTCTGAAAAGCCCCTCCTTAACTAGCTAATATAAACTGTTTTTTATTTCTTTATTTGATGTGAAAGATGAAACTCAGAAATATTATATGGTTCAAATAGAACCTCGAAGCCAGTTGGTAGCCTTGGAGGAACATGAGGTCATCAAGTCACAGAGCAGTTCATCCCCATTGTAATGGAAGATCTAAAATTCAATCTGAAGTGGCATATATAATGTGGTTGGGTTCACCAAATCAAACAGAAACTTGTCTTTCTGAACTTGGTTTATCAGCCATGAGGAATTAGTCACAGGAGAAGCAATCATAGAAATATTCACATTCTGTGTGGCCCCTAGCTCCTTTCCTCTGAGTTGTATGATGCTCTGAATTGGAAGGAAATGGCTGAGTGTCTGACTCAATGTCCACCACCATTTCACAGTGTCACCTGGCACAACTCAAGGCTCTGGACCTCTCTCAGGGACAAACTTGCTCCACCTTCATCTTGAATTAAGAATCTATAGGTTTCATTCTTTATTTTTAAATCTTAGCCATGTGGTTCACTTATACAATATCCATGTTTCTTTCTAACAGAACTTAGTTAATTGCTGTCCATAATTTTGTTTCCTATTTGCAAAAATGTAAACAGGTATCAATTGATCTATAAGTGATATACTTTCTCCAAACCCTATTAAATCTGTCACATCGTTAAATGACCCCTCTGATTTTCTTGGGGTTTTTTTTGTTTGTTTTTTGAGTTTGTGTACCTAACATATAATTTTAGATATTGCCTTATTTTTTAATAACAATACATAAATCATATATATATAAACTATATGATATATAATTTTTAAAGTAAATATAAATTATTTTATAATGATTTGCATGTTTTGTATATTATATAACAGCTATTACCTTTTTTAAATCTTCAGAATTTCTACATAATGACAATCAATAAGTGAGCCATATTTTATTATTTAGTGAAGTTATAAATGATATTCTTTTTCTTTTCAATTATTTTTTTCCTGCCTATATAGAAGAAAGATGCATAAGACAAATGTAGGAAGATGTTCTTTAATATCTTGAGCTACCTTATAAATTACATTCCATGACTTCCACCTGAGAGTAAAAATATTTGTTTTGAACTGAAGTTTTTAGGTCATTTCTTTTTTTTTTTTTTAATTTGGATATCTGGTTTATCTATATATAACAACTAGTGATTATAATTATAATAGAAAAAGATTTTCAGGCTAGCATCATCATGTGCTAGACTTTCTCTTTAATCAGATGCTTATACTGTAGCCAAACACTATAAACTAACTAGATTTTAATTCATTTATATGATTTTGTAAAAGAAATAAAAAAATATTAGATAGCCTGGGTAAAGGCATAATTTCTTTTCTCAATTTCTGCCTTCATTTGCCTTCTTCATTTTCTTCATTTATTACCTATTTATTTATGCATCCAAAGTTCAGCTAAAGTACTTAATTAAACAAATTTAGAATATGAATGCAGCATTTCTTCAATAGTAATTCATTACATATTCATCTCATCACCATTTAGTTCATCTTTATTTGAATCATGGTCTGTGATTATTCTGAAAATAATGTAGTACAGTAGGACCTAAGGCATTGGCCTTGCTTGGGTACCCGTAGAAATAATGGTGGACACTAGAGGAGTCATTTCATCTTGTGAGAAAGAGCTACTTTCCAGATTGTTGCCCTGTGAGTTTAAGGTATTATAAGCATTCAGTGCATTTATTAGAAAATGTAGCTATAAGTTTAAAAATGTATAGCCATGTCCTAATGAAAAGTCTTTTTTTTTATAATAAATCATACCAATTTTTTTTTTCATAGATTAGGTGTGTGTCCCATTATTTGGAAGAAAATGACACAACATCGTCTGTGTTTAGACCTCTCCAGTCTTAACAGTAAATGTAATTGTCTTTGGTTTCTCCTTAGCCCGTCTTCAGCATTATTTGACTTATTTGATATCTGTCTCTGGCAACTCACCTTTTGTGGTCCATTATTCTCTACCTGCTTCATTTATGTGACACTATAATATTGTTCCTGTCACTTCGGGCTTGATACTATCATGCTCTCTCTTTCTATTTCATTGAAGTATTCTAATCTACATCTCTTATTCTTCCAAGGAGTATTTGTGCCTTTTAAGAAAATCTAATTAATAGATTCATTTGTGTTCATGACAGTGTCCTAAGTGACCCTTTTACAAGTAGCACATAGCTATTAACAGTGGTCTTTGGAGAATGCTCACTGAGAGCCAGTCATGAATGCTGTCACAGTACACTTCTGGGCAGAAATCCTGGCTTATCTAAAAGAGAATGATCCCAGAGTAAATGTATTTGCACAAAGATTATGTTGTGAACACATAATCTATATCTACAAATAGTATGTTGTGAACATAAAGCAGTGATTAGACACAAGGTCAAATAAAACACAGGTGTGACTGCTAACACACCTGTCTGCAGGTGATGCTAGGGCCTCCACTCCATATACCCTGTTGTGGACAATTAGATCTGCTGTGCCAGACCACCCAGCTGATAGAAAGTCTCTGTTGACTTGAGTACAATCCCTCTAACCCGCTTGTCTCTGTCTCTGTGGCTCAAGAGGACCAGATCCTCGAGGACTTCCTGGGAAATCCAGAGCCATGGAGACTAGGAACAAGCAGGAAAGCCAGTTTAAGAAAGGGACACTTCTGCTGGCTACTGGTTGTGGAACACCAGATCTAATATGTTCATGAGATGGAGTTCCAGGAGGACAGCTACATCTGCAGCAGGCAGGTCAAGAAGTGTGACCTTTCCAGGTAAGGGTACTACTAGAAACTACTTTGTCATGCAGAGAAAGCCTGAATGCTTTTAATCACACAGAATATGTCCATGTGAATTGCAGGGAGATGTGCACTTAGGATCCTGGGACATGGGAAACAGGTATACAGGAATCTATTTACTGGAACATGTTTATTTCTTCTCTGCCTACATCAAGGTCTACTTTACCTTCCATTTTGGGTGTTTCCAATACTTTAATATAGATACTTGAATGCCTGGAAATTACTCCATATGAGACTGTACACATTTGATTTTGGAGAGAACTCTCACTACAAAGATTGTGATTACCATGTGCAAGGTCACCCTTAAATATAAATGAGGTGTATACTAAGGTATCTCACATCAGATTAAATTTTTCTTATTAACACAAGGTGAAATGAGTACAAACACACAAAAATTACATCATTTACTCAAAGAGCAATGTAATAGTGTGACTACAAGTTGATGATTTTAGCTTAATAATTTTACACCTAACTTAGTGTCCCTTAAAAATTCAGTTATTCACCAGACTTGCACTAGTTGCCTTTAACAGTTTTCCAAGTGTTACATTCTTTTTAAAAGTCACCATTTGCCTTCATAAGTAACAGATATAAATACGTCAGTATTTGTAAAGGTATTGCAAAGATTTTTCTAGCAACTTTTCATTTGAATACTACTTTAAAAGGGAAATGATGTGAATGTTTAAATTCTGTTGTTATTTTTATTTTAAAATCATTCGTTACTTTGTCATGTCATTGTGCCTAAAATGTATTATTTGCTTTAGCTCACTGAGACAATTCTGACCAGTTTTGAAAATCAACTTTCATTCCTATCTACATTTTCTCCCAAAATTATGAACTCCTTGATTTAGCAGTTGTTTTAGCAGTGTTTACAATATTCATGTTAATTTTTTTAACCTAAATTTGAACAATACTTATACCCATCAGTCAGAAATATATATTTTTAAAATTCAGTACTTCTTTTCTGGACTGAGTAGAGTATCCATTATCTTTTCTCTCCAAACTTCATTTTCTATGTAATGTATTAAATGTTAATATATATTTTATGCTTTTTAATATAATGCTCCTAAATATGATCATGTACACAAAATAAACTAGCTTAAACAAAACAGTGAAAATGAGCAAGACATTGTTTCTTACAGGATTATAAGGTCCATGAAGTCACAGGTTATACCTAAAATAGCTATTTATTTCATTCAAAGTTGTCTTGCTAACACTATTTAGGGCACTTCCTATTATGGTTTCCTGGAGGTTCAAGTGGGGTTCAGCTGGTTGTAAAAGCTGCCAGATTTCTTTAAGAGACTTTTGAAGAAAATATTGTAGGCTTCACTCTATGACAGATGATGCTGGCCCTCCAAATGATGTCTTCTCTTTGATGGGTAACAGATTGTTGAGAGGAAGCAGTAGCTACTCAGCAGTTTTAGGAGTATGATTCACCTAACTGGATATAGAGCTTAGATATATTTAAGGACAGGTGTTTTGTATCACAAAGTTTTTACTATATAGGGTTTTTTTTCCCTATGTCTAGTTTTAATACAATGTCCATGGATGGCATTTTGTAGGCCATTTCTAAAGAAACTTGTGTCTTCTGAAACTGGACAAGAATAGATGTCATTTTGCCATCAATCAAATCATTTTTGATGATTGCATTTTTCTGTGTGGGTGTTTGGATATTATTTCCAAATATACAATCTGCAATGTGTCATCATAGAAAACATATCAGTTTTTCTGAATCTCAAACTACCTTCAGGATATTATTAATTAACATCCTTACTATATTAAAAATTTAATAGTCACTCATCTCCTTATGTTTGATTTCTTTTTCATTGTTTTAAAATGTTTAAAACATTGTTTTTAAAATGTTTAAAATAAGTAAGAAAATTAATATATTTAGAAAAATAAAACGGTTGCAAACAAAATATTTGGCTCTTAATCCACAACTAAAAAAGACCAAAATAGACCATTTACAGGTCTGTAGGCAAAGTCTCATATATAAAGTGAAACAACATGAAGGTCATTCACAAGACAAAATTATAAAGCCAAGATTAAGCATTACCATTTAATTAGCTATTGATTGTGTTTTTAAAGAAACAGAGATTAAATAGTTTTAAAAATATATTCTTGTTTTGCACAGGTATCAGCACCAATCAATCGATGTTTTCCATTAGAAGTCAAGCTTCTGATTTTTTTTTTTTTCAAGAATTGCTTTTCTGAGGAATCAATGATTTTCAAATACATTTTCAAGTTTTACATATGTGTGTGTATGAACATATGCTTACATACATTATTTGCATTTGTATGTGTACATATTTAAAAATATCAGATTGTATGAATAAATATGTATATATAATAGAAATTATATGAAATAGCATCCTTTTAATATTTCCAGTTATGTTTGCATATAAAATAAAATATCTGTTATTGGTTCTACCCAGATTCTCTAGCTCTAAACATAAGTTTTAATTTTTTGTTTCCCAACTAGAGAATACTATATTACTATGGTTAAGTGGGTAAGCAATACCAAGACAGTGGTGAGATGGTTGAACCGACCTCAGAACATATCCATCCTCACAGTCTGTGAGACCACCACTGGTGCCTGTAGCAGGGTGAGTATGATTACTTTTCTTCTATGATTGAAACAAAGTAGTTAATCCTTCTTTACTCAGAGAAATCAGGAAATTTTTTGAAAAAAGTCTTTGATATTAACTTTCACAGGAAGTTAGAAAACATCTATTCCCATTAAAAGTATATACTTGAGTATATTCTTGAGCAGTGTCAATGATAAGCAGAAGAGAACAAATTCAGCTTTTTAAAAAAATAAGTGAATTCTTGAGAGACAAAGGGTAGTCTAAGTTACATAAATGTCTTTCTCAAATGTTGAAATTTTCTCTACCTCTTGTCTTTGATTAACTTGGGATTCTACAAAATTTCTTCCTGGACTTTTTTAAACACTTTCATAATTCAGATTACCAAAACATAACCACTTCTTTATCCTTCAATTAAGTAAATATAAACAAAAAAAATGAGGCTCTTGGACCAAACTGTTTTAAAAGTAAATTGTATTTCAGTTTCTAAACTCAGTTTTTATAAACTGAACAGTAAATTCAACATATGTCATTTTTAAAGTTCTCAGTAGAAGAAATGGGGCAATTAGATTAAATTGTAGGTGTTATGCAATTGAGAAAAAAAAGGATTCCCAGATTATTTAACATTTGAAACATCTGCTCTAGGAAAGATGAAATACCCATTGTAGATTAGCATTTCTTTGGGATACTACCACAAAAATATTACATATATTATATATATTTATATATATATGCATATTTTATATATAACTGTTTGTATATATTGATTATATAAAACACCTATTTTCCCATATTGTGCATTAGGAGAAACAGGGCAACTGCTCTGCCTCTGAACCACATCCCTAGCCATCTAATGGCAAAACTTTTAGACCACAGAGTAAGGAGATGGAGCCCAAGCCTAGTAAAATTGTGTTACATATCAGTAACAGACTTGAAAAGACATTATGAGAGAAAACATTCTAAATTGAAATTTAGAATTTTGTTGAGAGGGAGCACTAGCTACCCAGCAGTTTTAGGAGTATAATTCACGTAACGAGATATATAGCTTAGATATATTTAAGGACAGGTGTTTTGTATCACAAAGTTCCCAAACTTATTTACACTTGACTCTAGCACTGTTCATGGAGGAGTCATGAGTACCTTATGACTAAAGGGGTTCTCTCCCTGGGATTTATGATTGGTTTAATATTAGAAAACTAATATTATATATATATATATATATATATATATATATATATATATATATATATAACAAGATACAAAAGAAGAAATATAGTTAAGTATTTCAGTAGATGGAGAAAAAGAAATTTATAAAATTCAGTATGCATTCATGGCAGGTAATTTTCAACATAACTAAGTAGAAGTAAACATCCCCAATCTGACAAAAATGATAATCTATTCATGAAATAGCTCTCATTCAATAGGTAAACACCATATTCACATAAAGATCAGCAATAAATCAAGGATATACATTCTCACTTATATTTATATAAACATTATTAGAAGCTCTAGTCAAAATATCTCAGGAAGATATAAATATTATAATGTTAGAAAAGAAGGAAGTGAAATTGTCTTTATTTCCAGATGACACTTTTGTGTATATAAAAAGTAGGATGTGCAAATAACCTAGAACAAAAGAACACAGTTTGTAAGGTTAGTTCACCAATTCAAATTTTTTGTTCAAATGCAAGTTTATGTGTGTGTGTGTATGTGTGTGAGTGTGTTGCAGATTCTAATTTTCATAGGAAACATTGACTAAACTATTTAGAGGTAAAGAATGCAATGACACCAACTTGCTATAAATTGTTTATTTTAAAAGTATAGTTCTAATTTTTTATTGGTTTTGAAAATTCATGCTTCTATCTTCTTCAATGTTTTAGAAACTTGAAAAAGAGGCAATAATGACAAATGATGGAAAATTATAAACAAGGGGTGATTATGTCTAATGGTATAAAGAATTTAAACTAGTCTCGTAAATTGTCTAAATTTACACCTGTTATGAAAAATAATTCAGAACATACAAGATATATTTCTCTATACTAATAACATTAAGAAGGACATATGCTAAAATACCAAGAAAGCCTTAAAACATTAAGTATGTAAGTATAAATTTGACAAATACTCTGAAAAATTTCAATATTGAATACTACAACATTGCTGAAAGGCATTTAAAAAGACTTAAAAAAATGAAAGCTAGTCCATGTTCTGTACTTGAAAGGCTTAATCTTGTTCACGTGTCAGTTCTACACAAATTAAGCTTGTAATTGCAATATAATGCAAAATAAAGTCTCCTTGGACCCTTTTTGTAGAAACACATAAGGTTTTAAAAAATTATGTGGAAATGAACAGACCTGAAAAAGCCCAAACTATCTTATAAAAGAAGTTGAAGGAGTTCATAATTCCTGAGTTTGAGGATAATTACAAAGCTACCCAAACCTTGAGATGGTAGGAGAGGTACAGGGACATACAAATAGATCAACGGATTCACACAGTTTATAGAAATTAGGCCCATATTTGTATGATTAATTGATTTTCAACATAGATACACTGTAACATTTAATGGAGTGAAAAAACATGTTATTGGAACAATTGGCATCCAAATAGGAAAACATGATATTTCTCCTCTGTTTTATATCACAGTTCTAATCTTCCTGAGATAAATCACGAAGTTACAATTTGCAGTCTTCTAAAGGAAAATACAGAATATGACTTCACTGTGTTGAACAGACAAAATATCAATAATCCTAAAAACAGTAACACATGGGACCTCATCAGTATTAGAAATTTCTAAATTAATTTCCATTAAGGAAACTGATAAACTGTAGACTGAGGGAAAATATTTTGCAAAATGTGTATCTGACCAATAAAAATGAAAATCCAAATAATATGTCAAAGCATGTGAACAGAAATTACAAGGAAGATGATAAATAAAGTTTTTCAACAACAGGATAGGATAACACTACACACCAACAACATTAGTAAATTGAAACAACCATGAGAAGGTTAGCAACATTATCTGTTGATGAATTTTAATTCTTTATAGGTGGGAGTGTAAACTGATATGCTTACTTTAAAAAAAATGACTTTCAGTTTCAAATGAAGTTAAACATATGCAAATATCATTGTTTACATATAAATACACATGTACATATATGTATGTATACATATAAAGGAATGAAAATTACTTGGTAATTCCACTTAGTACCCAAGGAATAAAACAAATGTCTATCAAAAGATTTGTAAAGGTCTAAATGAACTTCATTAAAACTTTACTCACAATAGATAAAAACTGGTGACTCTGTGTATTAAGAGGGAATGGATTTTAAAAATCAAGACCTATCTATATGAGAGAATTCTTATAAATTTAAGAAGAAATAGCAAGGGAATGTTGATAGACCCAACAATGAATGAATCTCCAAAGCATGTGATATGAGGAAAACCTCACCCCAGCAAGCACATAATGTGTGTGTGATGCACGATCTTAATTTTCTGGGTTACTGCAACAAACAAAACTTATCTATGGAGAGAAAGATCAGGAGAGTGATTGCCATTTTGGAACCTCTGGGAAGGAGCATGAAGGAAGTTTAGAGGAAACATAAAAACTTTTATCTATGAGATATAAATCAAGTCACTCAAACTCATCACATTATGAACTTCAGATTTGTGTATTTCATTATATGTAAACATTTATAAAACATACTTTTTAATAGTCTATAAAAGAGTGAAATATAAAAACATTTAGAATGGGATGATGAGCATAGATGTAGATATGAAGTAGGAGAATCAACCATTTACTTTTTGGGTTTGACTAACACTTGTCACATTAGGCTTGTTAGATAATTTATCTCAGTCATCCTCATTTGTCCTATTATATTATTGACTGAGTAGACTTTCTCCATATATTTAATACACTGTCCTATATGGTTTCTTATTCAACAGATCATTAAGTAATTTAAAAATTGGCCTACATATATTCCATTTAATCAGAGAAAGACTGTTAACTTCTTTATGTAAGGATGATCTGAATTCTTTTAGTTGAGTATAGATAACAGCAACCATTGAAAAAGAAAAAATAGTGCAATGAATCTGACACAACTTTCATATATATATATATATGAATATACCACAGTGAATCTCATCATTGTGTAAATCCACAGGACATTAATTTAAAAAAAACATAACTATGAGTTAATGGCAGAAAGATCAAGAGGACCAGGGGGTAGGGAGAGGAAAGGAGAAGAAGAGGTTTTGAGGTATGAATTAGAGCAAGATATTTTCCATAAATGGATTCTATTTTCACACATGACTAAAAAGAACCAATAAAAAAAGATTGGGCACAGAGTATCAGGATTGGAAGGGTACTTAAAGATTATATGTCTTCCAAATTTGGAAGAAACAGAATTTCAAATGGGTGAAGTCTAAGAATTTTTTTTTTTTGGTGAAATTTGTGATGGAATATTTTAGACTGTCTGAATGGTATTTGCCAATGACTTTATGTAGGGGTCATTGGAAAATACCATTTTTGTTTGTTTCTTGTATTTTTAAATTTTTTAAAAATTTTAATTTGTTATATATGACAACAGAATGCATTACAATTCATATAAACATATAAAAAGAATAAATTAAAAAGAATAAATTAAAATATTATAAGAAAATAGAGGAGTTCTATCATATCATTCATTTAATATCTTCTTGATATTCTATTTTATTTCTATGTCTTGTTCAGAGTTAAAAAGGTTTTATTTCCAGTTAATTTAAATAGCAAAACAAAAAAAAATAGTAGTACATGAAATTTTGGACTCTTTCTGGTTCTAAGAAAACTTAGTGGTAGTAGTGAGCAGCCATGTCACTATTTTATGTATGTGTTCTCTATGTCTGAATTATAGCAGACCTAGAATGGCTATTGCTGAATTACAAATAGGAAATAGAAGAATAATTTATGCAGATGTTTTGATGATATCTGCATGTGGTGAAGATGCACATGCAGATATCATGCCTCAAAAAATAAAGTGATCAGTTATAAAGCAATAATAATATGAATTTAGAAAAGAAAAATGATATAAAAATTATCAATAAATTACTATGAAAAATTTGAAATAAGGAAAACCTCTAATATTTTATAGTTTTGATAATTTGAACACTTTTATTATAGAATCATTTCTTTCAAAAAAACCCACAAGATATTTCATGTCAGTACACAGAAACATTACTAAAACATTTTACCTACACATATTTAAGATGTGGTACATATATGTACATTTCATTGAGATGAAATTAGTCAAATTTTTCTTCTTGCAATATGATTTGGGTTCAGACGATTTGCAAAAATGTTTTAAAGAAATCTACAATTTTGGAATTTCAAAGGTTTGATGGTTTTCTTAAGACTGAAGTACTACTAATATGAAAAAAATTGCAATGATTAAGAGTAAATTGAATATTGGAACAAGGTCCATTTTTTATTTTATTCCTGGCTATTTGCCTAGTTTCATGGAGGACTTAATAATTTTGTTTCCTGATGATGCCTAGAGGTGAAAAGAGACAGACTCTGCTGGTTCAAAACAGTTTGAATGAGGTAATCAAACATAGCTGGGAAATGATCTTCTGTCTCTGGTGATATACTTCTGGGCATGCTAAATAATCTTACCAAAAAAAAACTTTATAATTAAATTATCGTTTAATCCCAATTTACTACTTTTCATTCATTTTAAATCAGTAATAACAATGTTATCTCTCTTAATGTGTCACTACTTGAATGGAGGATGAAGTAGTCTGAAGATAACAGTATAAAAAGGGTGAATTGTATATGCTTGTTTTGGCCTTAGATACTTCATGCAATCGATTGTTTTGTTTCAGAAATATGAGATGACATCAGACACCTGGCTCTCCAAACAGGTATAGTATAGGTGTTCTTACTCTAGAAAGTTATTTCAGTAATATTACTTTAAGGCTTTGATAGTTTAGACAAAATCATCCCTTCCCATTAAGGTATTTACGATTTGGGCTTTCTATGACATCATTTGCAAAATAAAGGTTACTTCTGTTTTATATGGAATATAGATTACAGAATAACTGTTAGGACCCAATTTCAGGATCACTCATGTAAGTAAACATTTGTGTAGATGAAGGAAAAAATGTTGCAATCCATCAAAACTGGAAACTATCTGCATTATTCAAATTGCCCAGAAAATTATCCAAACCTCCACATAAATTGGTCATCTGGATATTATTCAGATGAACACTTTTTTTTTTCTTTAGATGTATTCTAGCTCACTGTGCTATTGTGTGACATAAATGAGCCTAGAATTGAGATGAGTACAATAGTGTGAAAACCACATTTCTCCACACCTAGTCTCATACTGGACAATTCAGAAGGAAGCACAAATGGATACTGTCGGATCCATTTCACTGCTGACTCCATCATTGCTTTTTAAAAGAGAAATGTTATGCTTTATGTAGTTGGGATGGTTTAGGTTTGGTTCTTCACAGTCATCCTTTATTTTATATTCTCTTCCTGGGTGTCATTCACATCTGTGGTTTCAATTACCTCCATATTTTGAAACCTACAAATTTACAGCCCCAGGCACTTCTGAGAGTTCTGACACATCCACATTCATCTTAGGATCTCCTCTTAAATCTGTAAAACATAACTACATATTCCCCAAATCCAAACTGAACACCTTTTTCTTCTATATAGATGTTATTTCTTTTCATCACAGGAATAAAAGCATCTTTATCCATCTAGTGATTAAAAAGATTAACTAGTTAATCATCAAGTTTCACACTTTCAATGATCTATCAAGTCAATTGACTTTTATCCAGTTCATAAACATTTCCCAGGTTCAAATGACAAGCACCACAATCCTTTCTTATTAGCAAAACCTCAACCCTTCAGGCACCTGCCAATCTGTTCACACTATGGTTTGGCTGAGCAACAGTTTTTGAAGTATGCATTTGATTGATATAACCAACATATTCCCATTATCCTCATATTCCCATTCCTACAACTCAAAAAACAACTTTTATCTTCTCTTTCTGTACTTCAGATAATGACCAACATCCTTTGATGGTCCACAATGGATTAAACTGGAAATTGTTTAATCCACCCTGTCTCATATCATTTTTATAACCATTTTCTATCCAAGATACATTAGCCCTCATAAACCAAGGCTCTTTTGCATATGCCATTCCTTGTAAACAGAATTCTTTCAACTCCCTTTTCTTCTGTGAAGTCTATTTATTTTCAAACCTCAGCTTAATATATTTATTTACCTTCCCCAATCACCCTAGTCAAATTACATATCCGTGTATGTATTATCCTAAAGTGTAGATTTTATATAACATATACATTATTTTTGTGATTTTTGTATTAAGATTCAGGGGCATGAAGGATGTTTATTTTTTTGCTCTTCTTTGTAATCCCAATGTCAAACATGGGTTCTAGTATATAAGAAGTACTCCACAAATAATTGTTGAATGGATTAAAAAACATAAAAGGATTGTTATTAAGTTAAACCCATACTTGCTTGGAGTATAGATTTATGAAAATATATATATATATATATGTACATATATATGTATTTTTTAAAATTTATATTCTGCATATATCTGTCTACATGTACAAATATCAGTTAATTCAAACAGTTTTACCCTAGTCAATGTGCAAGATAAATTTGGATGAAACCTTGATTTTGCAGACAAGAATGGACTCTCAATTAAATTCAATATAGAAAATATAAACAATGAAAAATTGAACTTAATGGAAATTCATGTATTCTGAGTGGCCTTGCTTTATGTGAATCTATTCTGTCATTTTTAATGTCATTGACATTCAAAGTAGTTTAGCAGACATCAACATATTTAAACTCAAAATTCCAAGTTTGTGAATGATTAATAGAAACTTTTTTTAAAGAAAAGCATCCAGCTGTTAATTATTCAGAACAAAATACAGTTTGCAGTTTATCCCAGCTTATTTTTTTTCCTTCAGAAGTCCCAAGGGATTTTTTGTTGAGTGATTAGAATCACATGAGATTGAAGGGATGAGCATGGTTAGAAGTAATGAGAGGAAGCAAATTTCTAAGATGACCAGAAATTTAATAGAGTTGTATGCTCACTTTCTAGATAGTAGGAAGGGCAGAGACAAATAGACATGGTTGGCCTGGTCTTTAAGGGACTTTCAGTTAAGATGACTGGTATGTAATATGTTGGGTCAAGTTAACAAGTTCAATGACCTAAGTTCAGTGCCACGAGTATCAGAAACACTGACTTCCTTAGGGTCATAAAAGTCAACAAAAAGATTGGCTCCACCTGTACACAGTTAGATGTTTCCAGTCAGATACTGGCTGGTGGTAAAAATTTTGAAGACTAGCAAACATTTCAGGTAGAACCCTTCATCTGTTCTTTTTCTGAACCAGTTTGAAGGCACCAAAATGGAAGAGGAGGGATGTTAGTGAGAAAATGCTGAGTATCTCCCACCAAACAATGCCTATTTATCTGTTGAATGAAGCTCAGCTTATGAGAGAATGTTGAGTAAGTTTAACATACTGTAGGAAGTGTGGTAGATGGAGTGATGTTTGTGTGAAACAAACATTTTTTTTGCTGTTGTGTACATGCATTCATCTATTCAACAATTATGAGTTGGGCACCTACTGTGTCCAGTCCAATAGAGTTAAGCAAATCAAATTTAATTATAAATTGACTAGGAGAGTAAGCCAACAAATTAATAGATCAACAAAATAGTTTACAGTGTTCAATAAAGACATGAAGGAGGTAAATACAGGATACATTTTAGAATATCTAATGAGAGATTCCTTAACTTATAGAGGTTCTATAATTAGGGAAATTTAAAAATGGTGTATGTCTCATGAAATTAATTTTTTTTTAAAAAAGTAAAGTATAAAGTACCCCAAGAACAAAACAGAAAGTTTGTTCCACGTGGAAAATTGCTCTAAAGATAGAGTGATAGGAGATGGAACAAATAGAATTAATGACTCTATCATGGTTGAAAAATGGGGTTTACTCAGTCAAATATTTTGTCTGTATCTATCATATGCCAGTAATGCTATTTTCCTGGCATTGAATTGTATAGTATTTTAGAGTTTTCAATTTATTGGTTTTCTAAGTGTTCATGATGTAGACTAGGAAAATATAATCAAGCACAATTTACAAGTCACTGTCCCAAATGGTGGAGATGTAGCATTGAAGGTTCCTGCCTTGTGGGGTTCACATTATAGAACAAAATTAAATAAGTACATTCAAATCTACATGCTTGCACTCATAGCAGACACACACAATTATATATAT